ACAAAGACACGGTCGCTCACCATGCCCTCTTTCCCGGTTGTCAGCGTAAGCAAAGCCTGTAAACATTGACTATGGAAATACCATGCTAGGCCGCCACAATAATGAGCCGCTGGTGAAGTTAAGTCAAATTATAAAAGTTGAGGGTTGATGGCGATGAAAAAAGGGAGTGGCGATCCACGAAGATCACGAAAGTGGACTTTGTGAGATGAGGTTGATGATGAGAGAAGATGAGATATTGTGAGACGCGTTGGTGAACTGCGAGGCTAAGCGCGTTCATGAAAGGAAAGAGTTGGAGGGAGAGATTGCAAGGCACTAGGCCGAAACTGGGGCGGGGAGCAGGGATTGCGCCTCGAGCTGTTCGCAATCCCGGCTCAGATATTGTCTGGCTCCTTCTTTTTCCGTGCGTTGCGACCTGTCGCAACAATCTCTAAAGACTTTGACTGTCGAGTAAGAGATGCCAATGGAGATTGTCTTTTCCCCCAATCTTTTTCTAAGAGACTCACTAAGTTTCAGTTCCTATTTGATGCGTTGCGGTAGAACATGCTATGTTTGTTACCACGTCTCAGGCAGGTAGGTACTTACCAAGCTGGATAACTAAGGGACTATAGGTAGTCTTCAACCGTCAAAGATACTTGAGTACCTCGGCAACTTGCCTAATCACACTACCTACCACGATACTAATCGGGTACGTCAGTTACCTGTTCCAACTGTTATATCTTTACTCCTTGAGCCAACTTGTTGAGTTTCGGGTTCAACACAGAGGGGAGCCGTGCATAGGACTCTAACGTCTGCGTGTCAGTTTCCGCCTTGTCTTGTAGAGAGAGGCAAAACGTTATTACCGCGCAGATAATAAGTACACTTCTACAACAGCCATGTCTCTACGAGGTACCGAAGGCAATGCACTTGACCAGCTTATTTCACACATAAGTAAGCACACAAAGACTAATTCCTGTAATTGTCGCAGGTCGACTCAATCAATTCAAGACAACTAGTGCAAACATTGCGAGAGTGCAAGTTGCATAGTTGAGACCTTGATAGGGTAAGTAGCCCGGACTTGCATTGCGGAGTTCAACACTCAAAGACGTCAACCCTGGCAAGCACGCGATTGACAGACAAATTTGATATCTTCTCTTCACGCAACTCTTCATTCATATCTATGGTTAAGTACACTGTACAGTTCAAATAACAATTTTCAAGTCGTCTCGACTTCCTCATAAGAAAATAGGAGAACTTGACATTCGAAGAGCGAAATCAATGAGAACCTTGGATGAAGAAATCGCCAATTGATGGATCTATTTCTTTTCTTATGCGTACCATTGGGCAACTCTCCGTTGTTGAAGCTCACGACGGCTGATTGTGATAAGTTAACCACATCATGGTATGCTGTTATTGGATCAGGTACGGGATTTTTGCTCCATGACTGAACCCAATGAGGTTGTTACTTTCATGACGACGCAAGAACGCAGCCTTTGAATTTTTTTTTTTTGGTAAGTGCAATGTCGATATCTCGTCGGTAGTGAATTGCGATCTCGTGCTTGCTACTTTAGATAAGATAGTATTTAGCAATGGATGGAAGGTACGGGAGACAACTGATGCTGAGTCATGCTACCAGCAATCATGGACAAAACTGAAGTGCCTTATCCATACCTAATGGAGGTATCGTAGTGTAAAAACCCCTGGCAACCGGATAGGATTAATCCGGCCATGATGCTGCTAAAGCAGATTAGGTGTGTTTGGAGATTGAAAGAACGGACCAACGGGAGAGGGCGGCGCTAAGGAATGGTTCGCGCAGTCAAAGAGGAATCGATGAAATCATCGCACATTACATGGCCAAGCACAGTCGGCCTAGCCTCCAAATACCTGGAGCAGGCCGTGCCGAAGCGGACGGCATGCGGCGCTAGCATCATAAACCTTGGACGATAATTTGATTTGATGTGTCCACTGGCAAGATGGAGAGTTTTGAGGGCGACTTGGTCCTATCTTGAGGAATGTCTTTGCTTATGATGTAAGGCAGTTTTTGTCCTTGAGTTCGACGGCCTTGAGGGTGGGCAAATGCGAACTTGCGTACTTACTTGGGCATTGGAGCAAGACTTTGGGCAGTGATGGGAATTGAGAGTTGGTGGTCCCTCATACCTTAACCGCACAAATGCCCAGATGGCAGTCAAAAGGTTAAAGAGCTAAGACGGACCAACCCATAATCCATCCCAGCCCACCTGCGTGCCGCTCAGTTCAATAGTTCAACCCCCGTCGGGACCTGCAGATGGCCTGGTAATGGGAACAGATAGGCATGGGTTGATGGGTCCTCTCTTGCAGCTTGCGTCGAAAGCTTGCTGTCTTCCTCATCCCAACTTCCCAAGTCGGTCCCCTAGAGCCCGGCCGTCCGTTTCATGAACCCACATTGGGCGAAGGGTTCGTAGAGACGGCGCCATCCCGGAGGGCGATCATCATGGCTGTGTTTTTTGTAATTCGAATGGGGAATATGTTTGGCCCTGCCTGTCCTTCTTTCTCCCAACCACGGCAGGCCGCACGCATGGATTGCTCGGTGTCAGATCACTTAGCAGGTCTTCGTCTGCACTTTTCAGCTAACGTAGGCCGAGCTAGACCGCAAAGGGGAGTGACTTTGAACAGAGCTTTGGAGATTGTAGCCTTTGACGACGATGACAAGCCGATTGCAGCTGGAAAAGCACCCAGTCAATACCTTTGGTGTGGGGCACTTGTCTTGTACCCGTGTAGGCCTGCAGGCACCAGGTTAGCTGGGTGACGCTGCGAACAACGCCAAAAAGTCGAGCTAAAGACACAGATGACGTCGTCAGCGCGAAAGAGGCACCGAGGGGGAGGAGCATTCAAGGGGGGACGGCACACACACTCTCCCCGCCAGACCGTCACCTCTCCCACTGGGGACCTACCTTTTACTGCGTAGGTACGAAGTACGCGCACCTTGTGTTGTCCGTCCCGTCACCTCAAAGTCCCGTCACCTCCGCAACTACCTAACCTCCCCTTGCCTTACGCAGTAGACCACACCACTGGACCCTTTCCGGCGCCTACATATAAACAGCCGGCCTCGCTTCATCCTCAGGGGCCTTTTGACCCGACCTCCATTTGATCTCTTCCCACTCATACCCCTTGTCACACCCCGCGATACCCTGCTTCCCAGCGCATCACTGCATTGAAGCTTCATTTTCCTAGATACACAGATCCATTGTCTACAACGACTTCATATCGCCGACGCCGTCCCACTCCCGCCACTACAGTCAGTCAACGTCACTTCCAACATCATGCATCGCACATACTCCATGCGCCAGTCGAGGGCGCCCACCGCCTCGCAGATTCAGGTATGCGCCTAACTTCATGACAATCTTCGATGTATGGTACGATACTTATCGTGTTCGTAGAACCCGCCTCCGCCGCCTTCTTCCACCAAGTCTGGTCGCCTGTTCAAGGGAGGATTTGGTAAGTAGTCTTTTCTCCATCGATTGCCACCTTTGCGCCGTGCCATTTCCCATCTTATGAACTTGGGAAGCACGATGGGCTAACAAGTCAATCCAGGCCATGCTCTCCGCCACAAGTCAGCCGGTGCCTTCGGCCCAGACCTCGCAAAGAAGCTGTCTCAGCTGGTGAAGATGGAGAAGAATGTCATGCGCAGTCTCGAGCAGGTAGCGAGAGAGCGTATGGAGGTTGCTGTAGGTCGTCTGAAGATACCATCGTCCCGTCATACATCTGCTGACTTGATCCCCTAGCAACAACTTTCCATTTGGGGCGAGGCTTGCGACGAGGATGTATCTGATGTAACCGACAAGCTCGGAGTTTTACTCTACGAAATCGGCGAACTCGAGGACCAATACGTCGACCGTTATGACCAATACCGTGTTACGATCAAGAGCATTCGTAACATTGAAGCCTCTGTCCAACCCAGCCGAGACCGTGAGCTCCACCCTATGCTCGACACATGCGGTATCGTTGCCTAACTAACATGAACTTTAGGCAAGCAAAAGATCACCGACCAGATCGCTCAGCTCAAGTACAAGGAGCCCAACTCCCCCAAGATTGTCGTTCTTGAGCAGGAGCTGGTGCGTGCTGAGGCTGAATCTTTGGTCGCAGAGGCTCAGTTGTCCAACATTACGCGCGAGAAGATCAAGGCTGCCTACACCTACCAATTTGATGCCCTGAGAGAGCACTGCGAGAAGGTTGCCATTGTCGCCGGGTACGGAAAGCACCTGCTCGAGTTGATTGACGACACCCCTGTCACTCCCGGAGAGACTCGTGCAGCTTATGACGGATATGAGGCTAGCAAGGCCATCATCCAGGATTGCGAGGATGCTTTGACCAACTGGGTCACATCCCAAGCTGCTGTGTCTTCCAAGCTGTCAACTCGTGCACGCACCTTGTCAACGCGCCGCAGAAATAACATTAGAGCACGTGCCGAGGGAGGTCACGACCTTTCGGGGCAAGATGTTCCATTGAACGACGACTCGTCGTGGACGCGGGCCCACAACAAGGAGACTGAGTACAGCGACGAGGACGAGGAGGAGGATGACATCCACCACTCTGCCGTTGGTACCGACGATGGTCTGAGCGGCGAGACGAGAGGCCGTCAGCACGAGAGCGTCGTCGCATAAGACAACGACCGCATGTCTCTGGATCTGAGTCAACCTATCCTGCTGTTGACAACGGACGGCATTGAGCACATAGCTCGTAATGGCAGTAATGTTCGGGTTTTGGCAAAAGCCAAGGAAAGCGTTTGGTGCAGGTGTTTGGGAATCGGTGCCTCGGTAATCTAGTCGAGATCGACTTGCTACGGTGAAACAGGATGGAATTTTATGGTTTAAAATAGTGCCTTTTTTCAGCTCTTAATCCCCAGTATTCCATACCCAAACGATACACTGCATCTATTTATGCCGCGTAATGCTTCATGGAGTTCAGATGCTTCCGCGCCAGTAATCTTGAGCGCTTCACAATTCGTTCCATATACAGTCGTGCAAATGATCAATCACCTTCGAGACCTATACGACAACGTCGGCGTATGGATTCCGGCTCCCGATCTGACTCGTGAATTCTTCTACTTCAATCTTCACAATGTACTGCCCAGGCACCACGACCAAGCCCAGGTACCGGGATGTCATGTCCATCGTGACCGAGGTGATTCCTTCTGTAGCCTTCTTTGCGGCTTCAGCCCGCTGCTGCGCTGATGGCTGTCGATATTCGTAGGTATGAGCTAGTACTACATTGCGATCCTATAGATTTGAGGTTGGCATTGATTAGCGAAATGATCTTGACGAAGGGAACCCATAAGGGGAGGAGGTTAGGATTGGAGGGGTAGTAATTTACCGGATCGGTGCACTTGAATTGGCCAAGGAACATACGGCCATCAGTAGCCAGGACGCGTAGGTTCTTGTTGAGAAGCGAAGTCAGGAAATCTCTTGCCTCCTGTTTGTCCATGGCGACTGGTTGACGGCAATGTTGGACATTGCTTTTCCAGGCGTCGAGGAGAGTGAAGGTCAAGGATGGAATGGCGCATAGACGGCGCAGTTGCGAACAGTTCCCCTTGGCGGTGATTGCAAGCGGATGAGGTTTCTGCCCCGCCGCTTACATCTGCACCCAATCGATAAGCACAGATAAAGACGCCCCTAGTGGAGGCAAGCGCGTCATGACCTCGAGCTCCCATGTCAAATGGCTTACAGGCAGCTGCGGGCGTGTTCATTCTTCACGAACTCGTAATCTCATTCACTCTTCACAGCCGCCACACTTACATCTGTGCTACTTTGACTGTATCAGGACCTAGCGCCCACCTTCTACAATGCTATATACACTCGGTAGATGAGGAGAGCGCTTCTCGCAGCATCAGACACCCTCCGAAGCTGACCCCTCCGTGAACTCCGAATCAAAGGTGTCGGCTCTGCCCTCCCGCCGACGCCATGGGTGTGAACGGCCTTTGGACCGTCGTGCAGCCCTGCGCGCGCCCGACGAACCTCGCGACTCTCAATCGAAAGCGCCTCGCAGTTGATGCTTCCATCTGGATATACCAATTCCTCAAGGCGGTGCGAGACAAGGAGGGCAATGCCCTGCGCAATTCGCACGTCGTCGGCTTCTTCCGCCGCATCTGCAAGCTGCTGTGGTTCGGCATCAAGCCCGTCTTCGTCTTTGATGGCGGGGCTCCCGTGCTCAAGCGCCAGACGATCCAGGGTCGTAAGCAGCGGCGTGAGGGTCGGAGGGAGGATGCCGTCCGCACGGCTGGGAAGCTGCTGGCTGTGCAGATGCAGCGGATTGCCGAGGAGGAGGAGGACAAGAGGAAGCGCGATGCGGACCGAGGCATCCAGCGAGAGCGAGAGGAACCTCAGGAGGCTATACCTGATATGGAACAGATTGTTTACGTTGACGAGGTCGGCATGTCGCAGCAAGAGCGTCAAAAGACGAGAAAGTTTTTCAAGCAGGATGCATATCACTTGCCCGAGATGGATGGCGATATTGCATCCATGGCCAAGGCGGATGATCCTAGAATTATGAGCATTGAAGAATTGGAGGAATATGCCCGACAGTTCCATAACGGCGAAGACATCAATCTCTACGACTTCAGCAAGATCGACTTTGATGGCGAGTTCTTTCGAAGCTTACCAGCAGCTGATAGATACAACATTCTGAATGCGGCAAGACTGCGTAGTCGTTTGAGGATGGGCTTGAGCAAGGAGCAGCTTGACGAGATGTTCCCGAATCGCATGGATTTTTCAAGATTTCAGATTGAAAGAGTCCGCGAAAGAAACAACTTGACACAGCGCCTCATGAAGGAAGCCGGCATGACTGGTCTCGATCTCACTCTGAACGGTGGCGGCAGAATCGCCGGTGAAAAGGACAGAGAGTATATCCTGGTCAAGAACGATGGCGCAGAAGGTGGTTGGGCCCTAGGAGTCGTGAGCAAGGAGAAGGACCTTGGCGAAGCCCACAAGCCCATTGATGTCGATGCATTGGACTTTCAGTTCCAGCCCAAAGAAAAGGCTGAGGCATCTGAAGAGGAAGACGACTTTGAAGATGTTCCGGTCGAGGGTCTGAACCGGCTGCCCAAGATGTCCTCCAGCGCAGCCGCACAAGCATCCCGGCAAGCAGCTATCCAGAGGCAACAATTTTATGGAAACCGGGGAAGCAGCGAAGTGAACGACTTGTTCGAAGAGGAGGAGGAAAGTCTTTTTGTCGATGGTGATTTGCCGGAAGCCCATGTCCGAAATGTTGCTAGGCAACGAGGCGATGAGCCAATGCACCCAGAAGAAGAAGATGACATCAATCGGGCCATTGCCATGTCACTGCAAAACCAGCACGGAGAAGCTGCTCAAAAATCTGAGGAGGATGAGCAGTTTGAAGACGTGGAGTTGGAGGCACCTGAATGGAAGCAGAAGGCTGTGGAGGCACCCAAGCCGATCGCCGCGAGGAGCGGTCGCATGGTTGCTCACATCGTAAACAACAGGTCTAATGCCGCAGTGCCAAGGAAACGCGCCAATAGTGCCAGCAGTAGCGACGGAGAGATGGACCTGCAGGCGGCTCTGAAAGCCTCTCGACAGAAGAAACGAGTATTGCCCAAGCCTGCAGTGCCCAACGTCAAGAACCCTTTCGATGGACCACTGCCGTTCCCCAAACTCGCATGGGGCCCTTCTCTCTTCTCCATGAAGGCTCAGCCAAAGAAGCCTGAAGTGGCAGCCCCAAAGAAGCCAGCGCAAAGTTTGCAAGAACCGGGGCGCAGAGATGGTGATGACGAATTTGGTGGTGGTTTCTTGGCTGATGGCGCTGAAGAGCAGCCTGCTGGCGACGAAGACGACGAAGGCGGCTTTGAACGAGGGCCAGAAGAAGACCGTCCCAAGCCTCTACCTCCCTGGATGGTGGACAATACAGATATCCGAGAGTCGATTAAACAACAGCGGCAAGTGGAGAGTGAAATCAACACGGAAGATAGAGAGGCTGCGCAGGAAGAGGAGCGGAGGTTTGAGCGTCAACGACAAAACCAGCTCATCGAGATTCAGTCCTCTGATGACGAAGACGACGACGTTGAGATTCTTGACGCGCCTCCACCTCCGAAGCATGCTGCTTCCCAAGAAGATATTACTTTCCTAGACGAAACCAATGCCGCCGACGATGCCACAAACGCAGAGGTCGAGCCCGAGAAAGGAGAAGACGAGACGGCTGCATTGTCAGAAAAGGCAGATGTGTTACGCGAATCATCTCAGTCTCCCGAAGTCGAATTTGAAGACATTCAGCCTGAAGAAGTCGACGACGACATGGAGGTCACTATTACAGCAGTCCCTGAGTCCCCCGAGCCAGAGATGGAAGATGTCACCGAGCCACAGGGTCCCGACTCCCCTCCAGACCCAATCATGGAAGATATCACCATGACCGCAGAAGAGCCGAAGCCCGTCGAAGAAGAAGAGCACGAGCTTACGTTTGAAGAACTCATGGACGGGCCCACGCTTGATGATCCAAACACCGCTGGCGATCCAGTGCAAGACGCCGAAGCAGCCGTCTTTGCCGAAAGCGACGACGAGTTCAGTGACCCGGAAGACGAGGAGCTCTTTGCCAACCTGGCTCAGGAAGCCGAAGAGCATGCCCGCTTTGCCAGCGAGCTGAACAACAAGTCGGAGCAAGAGAACAAAGAGGCATACGAAAAGGAACTCAAGGCGCTGCGCACGCAGCAGAAGAAGGACCGCCGCGACGCCGACGAGGTCACGCAGGTCATGGTCACCGAGTGTCAGGCACTCCTTCGCCTCTTTGGTATCCCCTACATCACCGCTCCTATGGAGGCGGAAGCGCAGTGTGCGGAGCTGGTGCGTCTGGGCCTGGTGGATGGCATTGTCACCGACGACTCGGATTGCTTCCTCTTTGGCGGCACGCGTATCTACAAGAACATGTTCAACAGCAACAAGTTTGTTGAGTGCTACCTCGGCTCGGATCTCGAAAAGGAGCTTTCGCTCTCACGCGACCAGCTCATCGCCATTGCTCAGCTTTTGGGCTCGGATTACACCGAGGGCTTACCTGGCGTCGGTCCCGTCACGGCCGTGGAGATCCTCTCCGAGTTCCCCGGCAAGGACGGTCTCGCCCAGTTCAAGGAGTGGTGGGCGGACGTGCAGCTGAACAACCGGCCCAAGGAGGCCGACGCGGGGTCGCCTTTCCGTCGCAAGTTCCGCAAGTCCCAGGGCACCAAGCTTTTCCTGCCAGCGGGGTTCCCCAACCCGGCCGTAACGGACGCCTACATCCGGCCAGAGGTCGACGACAGCCCGGAGCACTTCCAGTGGGGCGTTCCAGACCTCGAGGGTCTGCGGCAATTCTTGATGGCGACGATTGGGTGGAGCAAGGAGCGCACCGACGAGGTGCTGGTGCCTGTGATTCGGGACATGAATAAGCGCGACATTGAGGGCACGCAGACGAACATCACGAGGTACTTTGAGGGTGCTGTCGGCGTGGGCGCGAGGGATGCGTTTGCGCCGAGGCAGAAGGGCACGACGAGCAAGAGGATGGCTAACGCCGTGAGTCGGTTGAGGGCTAATGCCAATGGCGAGCAACCGGGAGATGTGGAGCAGGAGGGCGGAGCTTCTGCTGCTGCTGGCACGGCGGCGCCGACTAGAAATACGGGGAAGAGAAAAGCTAGGGCTAGGACGGCGGCTGCTGAGGATGAGGATGAGTTTGTCGATGATGAGGAGGAGAATGGGCAGGATGGTCGAAGCGGTAGAGCCCGACGCGGAAAGAAGGCCAAGGCATCTGCATAGTCATTCGGGTTGATAGAAACCACAAACTTGACTTCCGTCCGTTTTTTGCGTCACTTGTTTGTAGTATTACGGAACGAGGCACCAAGGCGATGGCCCGTAAGTAGAGAGAACGAGACGTTGTATCACCAGGGTTCTTGACAAAAATAAAGTCTTTGAGCCAAAAAAAAAAACTTATGCCTTGGCTCTCGGAATCCACCCCTCCTCTCGCTGCCACAACTCCGCTGTGGCGATAGGCCGGTGATTGAAATCGCGCAGTAAAGCACAAAATCTCTCAACTTCGGACACAGGTGGTAGAATTTACAGACCTGCATCGGATATGTGAGTCACAAGTAGCAAACGGCATTTGCCCGAAGGAAGAAAAGACCCGTTGGCGACTTGGTCCAATGAGGCTCAAGATGATAAAGTCTACTATTGGATTTACATCCTCTTCTCCCACGTCTCTGCGGGTATGTATTAGGAGGGTCTACTGAGTAAGCGCCAAACCTTCCCTTAAGGCTGAATGGGGTTCCATTCCCGAATCCGCTTTTCGAGAAGTGATTTTCAGGTACGATGTAGTAGTTTAAGTCGCTCTTTACGCAGGTGCCGAGACCAGATCTGGGGTGGAATATCATGAGTTAAAAGTGGGGAGAACTAGTTCTCCGAATGCCAATCGAACGGAGGGGATAGGCAGAATCTTTTTTGCGTTTCCACGTGGCGAGGCACGGGCGAGACGTTCGGGAGGCGAAGATCTCTCGAGACGACGAACTTTGCTGTTTCTCACGTGCTGGTTGGGTGTACGGATACACCGCAGAAATGCCGTGTGCG